CGTGTAGGTCGTTATGGAAAGATTTTCATGTAGAATTTGAGGATCAAAATTACGGAGTTAGAGAATTTAATGTTATTTCGGTAACAGTAGTCCGAAAGAAGTAAATCAATAAAGAGCTATCACATATCGTACAATTGACTGCATACGTATTATGAAATTAATTTTTAAATTAACTGGGTGTAGCAAATTTTGTATAGCCCGATAAGTTAATTTTATACATTTAGTCAGTTACGTATTTTAGAAAGACAATGATTTGTATCTCGTTAAAATCTGAAAAATATTCCAGTGCTTCAAATCAATTTTGAATGTAATCCGTCCAGGATGGTTTATACAATGAATTGAGTAAATATTAATTGTATTAACAATGTGATAAAAAATGATATGGTATAGGAATTCTTAAATTGACAATGTATTTCATGTTAACTAAGAAATAAATACAAAAGGACTTTCTTAATATATTACCAGTCAAATTTTGGATTAATCCTCTCGATAGTGGCCGCGTATTAACAATCGTGGTTGATAATAGCAAAGCATAAAATTTTTTAGGCTGGCAACAGTGTCATCTTGGATTTGTTGATGGTATTGAAGTCTGGTAGACTCCTTTTAAGGCTCACATTCTTTGAACTAATTAGTTGTTTGCCATGATTTCTTTGTACTTCGAAGTTTTAAACGTAAAAATTTCTTGTCCCAATGATATTATTAGCGTGTTCCAGATTCATTTATTTTTAACTTTACCTAACTGGTCTTAATAAAGAACCACGTAGTAAAAGATTCATCACTTATCGTTATTAGAGATTAAACCGTTTGATAATACATCATCCAGGTGTCTACATCGTTTTTGAAATCGGGACATCTGGATCAAGCTGCGAGTATTTAAAGTGGGTTAACCGAATAAACTATAATACATATATTACGATTTTTTATTCCATTTAATAAAGCCAGACCATTCGGTCAATAATTGCGAAGCATTAATTCATATCACTGATGTGCCTTTCGCATGGTGTTGGGGATGTGAGTTTTAGCAAAGAGAACGCTAGCCATTCTATGAGCAAAATTCGAGAATTTTCTGAATCTTCTGGATTCCATTCTTCGAACCTGCGGGTCTCTTAACATGTGAAACTTCGAGAATTTTAAGTATATAAACTGCCTGGTAAGTCTATGTGAGGAATGCTTTGGTTCACCGTACCTAGTAATATTTTCTGTCATATTAATGCATTGATTCACTAAAATTCGTCAGCATGAAAACCGTCCACCTCAAAGCGCTCACTTTGAATTTTCTAAGAAAACTGTCCCAGTCATAGATCATAGCGTATTTCAAATTTCCCGTCAATGTTTAAATACCAAAGCTAAATCTATGCTACGAAAGTGAAAGAGGCATTCTCAAAATTCCATTTCAGACATTTACTACATTTAGTTTGGGCCATATTCTCCATCGAACATGCATTCAGAGATAGAACATGCAAAATGTCCGGCATTCCCACGTTCTCATCGAAACTATTAGGGAGGAAGTCGAAAGATAGGTCAGCACTCGCTAGTACCTCCAGTAATAATCGGCTCAACAAAGCTCAAACATGAAAGACAAAGAAATCTACCAACTATCGCACTCGGATGTTATTATCAGGTGATCGAAGTCCAGCAGGCGAAGAGAAGAATGTCGATCATATTTCTCAAGCAACCGCTTCTACAAACAACCCAAACAGGTTCAACCACCGAGAGGAATTTCTCCCCCAATCTACCGTGTTGAAATAGAGTACAATGATTAATATCAGAATTATCTACGCCTCTCAAATGTAAATCTGCTGAAGCTGACGATGATGAAGGTCGACAAAAAGTCTTGCCCGTCTATACCAAAAAGCAAATAAAGCAGAAAAACGCGTTACCTTGGCATATCAAGTCGAAATTCAGTGTTGATATTACTATGCAGAAAATTAGAAAAATCAGTTGAGGATATTAAGAATGACGGGGGAGGCTACTGATCCAACGACTAGAAATCGAGTGTATAATGAAACTATGCCACAACTTCAAGGCATAATCTGCGTAAGAAGGCTCAGAAGGCTAGAGTAATATACACTTAGTTTAGAAAGGTAAGAATAAAAAATCAGGCGGGTTCAGTTATATAATGCAGATACGTTCAATGTTACTCAAACTAAGAGCATGATCACTTTCATGATTACCAAAGTCCACGAAATCACTGGATGTAGTGAAAATAAAGTTATATTATAGATCCCGTGAGATCACTTTACAATTATCATGAATCATACATTATCAATATGTACGTACATATCTGTCACTTCATTGAGAAGAGAATATCATAAGTCCTTCAGTTGAAGATGAATGGCCAGTACAATTAAAAGAACAACTTGAAAAGACTTTAAGAAGACAAATGAATAATAGTGAAATGTCAAAGCAATATCTTAAAGTTGAATAATTATTAATCAATATTTCAGTACAATATCAAAGACAATTACCAGCAATCAAAAGAAAGATTAATAGAGAACTTAGATTTTAATCTTATGACTGTCATATATGATTGCTAGGAGAACTTATTAAATATTTTTTTCTGAAGAAGAAATAGATCAAAGAATTTTGACTTAGAATTAATGCCAACAAAAATATATCAAATAAGAAATCAAGAAATCAAGAATTTTACACAATAATTTTGCAGGAGCTCAATTTTTTCAAAGAAAATGCAAATATTACAATTATATTATAAAATTCATTAATTTCATAATTTGTAATATTTCACAAATTATAAAAATCATCTAAAGAACTTAGAATATTTCACAATTTTCTAATATATTATTAATTATAGTATTAATATACTTTTATTTTTCTACTTTGTACTCTTATACTTTTTATACTTTTTATACTTCTATATTTTTATACTTTTTATACTTTTTATACTTTTTATACTTTTATATTTTTATACTTTTTATACTTTTTCTACTTTGTACTCTTATATTTTTTATATTTTTATACTTTTTATACTTTTATACTTTTATACTTTTATACTTATTTATTCTGAGTAAATATAACTTAACCAATCAAAATTCTTTGAGATTTATATTTTTTTCTTTTATTTCTCTATTTTTCATATTTAGTAAATTGGAATTCTATTTTTTAGTTAGTATAATTATCTTTTTTTTTGTTTTTAATATTATATTTGTATTTCAAAGAAAATGTATAAATATGAGTTGTAGTTAAGCTCTAACTCAATATGTCAGAACTTGAGAATAAATAACATAATAAAACAAATATCTTTTAACACTTAAACAATTCACATTTCTCTCTTAAAAGTACATTTCAAATCTTGTAAACAAGTAGCTTTGAGACTGTATTAATCTGATCAAAATATTGATATTGAATTATTGAATTGATATTTTGTTATAGACTAGTCTTTTGATATTTTTGTTATAATCAAATTACTCAATTAAAAACATTATAATCTCTTTTTGTAAGAAGAACAAAGTGAAAGAGTCTTTATTACTTTTGTTATTTTAATTAGTTAGTTAATTTGTTATTTATTTTAATTAAATAATTCATAAATTAATTAGTTAGTATGATTATTCAGAATACTATATCTAATTGAAACACTATTACTTTATCTTTTTTCCCTCTCAAACTATAATAATTTCAGTAGAAATTGTCATAGAACTTGGATATTATTTTTATATTCTTATATTTGTTTAATTATCTCTTCCAATCCTTGTTTGCATTTATTAGCTAATTGTTCAATTAGTGAAAAATGTGTAACAATATTTTATATTATTTACATTTTTAATTTTCTTGTATCAGATTTGTTTTGTCAGTTTGATTTAGAAATTCAATATGTAATTAACCAATAAAAATTATTTGTGTTTAATTAAAAATCTAGAAAAATTAGTAAATGTGTAATTTCATGTATTTGGTATATTATTTATTCAATATATTATGCTTTGATATGCTATTTTTCAGTATATTATGCATTCTATAAGTTATTTATTCAGAATTTTATGCTTTTAGTATGCTGTATATTTAGTATATCATGTATTTAATATGCTGTTCATTCAGGATTTTGTGCTTTTAGTATGCTGTATTTTCAGTATATAATGCATTTAATAGGCTGTGCATTTAGAATTTCAGTAAGCTGTTCATTCAAAATTTCATGCTTTTAGTATGCTGTTCATTAATTATATTATGCATTCAATATGCTATTCATTCAGAATTTCATGCTTTCAGTATGCTGTTCATTCAGAATTTTGTGTTTTCAGTATTTTTTTGTTAAGTTTATGACATATCAGGATTATGGTTTTTGGAATGTCATATCAGATCTGAGCTATTGTAGATATAACTCGAGTCAAACTTGATTTCGAGTCAGAGTGATCACTTGAATCAAAATATCACTGACTCGAGTCAGAAAATTATGACTCAAGTCAAGTTTGACTCGAATTAACTTGAGTATGAGTCCAATTACTATGCAGAACCCATTGATTAGTCGATAATTAGTGAAAAAGATCTATTTTGTTAGTGAGTGTATTGGTGGGAAATGAAGGAGAAGAGAGTTTATTGTATTAATGAATAGTTAATAGGTTTCAACATTATGAAAAGCAAATTACAAACTTTCATTTGTTGATAATGGCATCATTCGAAAAATTAGACTTCGAGTGACAAATCGATTCTGATGTGAAAATCATCCACATGATATATAAGTCACATAAGTCACATTTCGAACTTTTTTGTTGGTTACGCTGGGGAAGGTATTTGGGTAACTGAGATTTAAGTGACTTGAACAATTTTTTTGTCATGACTAGGATACTAGTTTCGTTGCAGATTTCATCAATCATTATGTGATTAAGCAAAGTTATTATTTTGATTAGTCAGAAAATTTTATTATAAGTTTCATCTATAATTAAGGGGTTGGTGTTGGTATAAGAATCACGTAATTGACTGTGGCTAGGGTATTATTTCGTTCGACGAATGATGTGATAAAACCTTTCGTCGTTAAATAGTTTCTTCAGATATCATTAATTGTTTCACAAAAATCCCTTATCTAATACATGAACATTGTACAGTATTTTATTTTGTACATATATAGTTGAAATTAATATTATTTTACACCTTAGTGTGTCAGAGCAGTTTGAACCTATTTAGATGAGAAATCAAAAAACATCTTGCTTACGCTTTATAAATTGTTCATTTTTAAATATTAACAAATCTTTAAAAAGAAATCTATTGGAAAATTTTTATATTTTCACGTATCAATTTACTGTCCGTCCGTGCATAAATTGATTTTGTGTTAAAAACTGATTGTTTATTGTTCATTGTCACAATATCAATATTTGCACGGAAATTTCCGATTTGGCTGCACTTATTATTTGGAATTGGTGCTGAAAAAAGATAAGCAAGGTTTGTGTATTGAAGCGCATGATATTTATATTGCTTCTCAATTATAATAGAAAATTTTTTTAGTAAAGCGAATTATGCTTCTGTGAAATGAATAAATCAAGGTTCACGATATTGTGTACTGAATTAATAAGTAGTCCTGAGGATAAATTAAGATTCAAATTTTCTCCAAAATGGGGTGTTGGGGTACTTTATGCAATGTTGTACCAGCACTCCGCGCCTATTTAGATCATTATCAATTAAAAAATAAAGCCAATAGATGCATTGCGTATTCTAGAAAATTTTTGTCACTCAAATAAGAGCTTTTTATGCCATTTCTTAGTAATTTATCACATGTATTTATTATATTATTTAAAGTTGCAAAATACATGTATCATTTTTTAGGTTAGTCTTGTACATCAAATTTAGCCAATCTGATTTATTCTGGAATTTTTAATATTTACCGTTACGTATACGCAACGGTAACAATACAGTTGTTGTGAAATTCCAAATGTAATACAATTGTCATTATCTTGCCAGTAAACGCGTGATGCTGCATTACTCGAATGTGTAACTTCCTAACATAGTAAAAAAATATTAGTTATTCAGATTACTTTGTTTGTCTCGTGCTAAACAAGCAACTGATAACTAAAATTCTATTGTATGCTCCATATTTTTGAATAAAAGAGATTGATAGCTGGAAAAACCTCCTCGTAATTTTCTCTTCTTAACCGTTCACTATCTAATAATGTTGACCTGTATTTATAAAAGAGTTTCGTGGCGCAAGACGGAACCAACCATAATAAAATTTCTCAAAGAAGCATTTTTATGGCTGATTTCTTTAGGATTGTTCGCCAATTCTATTTTGTTGATTTATCAATTAGTAACTGATAAACCATTGCAAATTATTGTCCCTAAATATGAGTCGAAAATTGCTTCTCCATGTAATTATCTATATAATTTTTATTTTTTCTCTTTAATACATATGTGTATTTGTGTGTTTTTAAAATTGCGCATGGAATCATTGCATAATATATAGACGCCTACTTTTTTGCCACTTTTGAATTTGGAGTATCTTGTAGTTTTCTTTTCTACGGTGAGTAATCATTTCTATTATTATCTTGTCAAAGTTCGATATGAATATCGATATAAATATCAATAGAAAATTTCCATACAAATATAGATATTTCAGGAAATAAAACAATTGACTGTTCAAATCGTCTAAATCAACCCATTGCAAGCTTCAATGCAAAGACTCAATCTTTTGAAGTAGACTTTTACACAAAAGATGATGATTTCAGCTTCTCTAGTGACGGGATCTCTAATATTTTCTTCGATTTCTATCTAACTAATTCTTCGTATAATTCCCTTGAATTGACTTCGTATTTGGCCGCTACGTTTATTGATCACAGTAAGAAATGAATAAATGATAATTGTTTGATTTCAATACTCTATATAAATAACTATATATTATATTGTATTAGGTTCGGGTTTGTTAAATGCTAATAAAATGGTTAATGATGCTTTGAATAAACAACTTACAGAGAAGAATACATATGTGCTTTCTCCAAATCAGGTAAGAATATAAAAGAAATTATGTTTTTTACGATGTCCACAATTTTCTTATTAGCGGTGTTTCATTATTTTAGAGAAATTATGTTGGTTTCAAAAGATTCAAAAATGAAAGTCTTGCGAATACTCCAAGAAATGTTTTTGGTGCTCCTCAACCAGATCATGAAAATGATTTCTTCATTGAAACAAGATTTCGTAAGTTTAATTGTTGATCTATCATTTTATGCTTTGATTTGGTGTATCTTTATATACGTAACAAAACGATTATTGCTAGAAACATCGAATTATCCAGCAACGACTGAAAAGCTACATGAATTGTTCTTTTCAAGCTTGAGTGTATTTTTGCTAACATACGAAATACCAATAATAAAAGAAAAGAAGTAAGTTTTTATGAGTTTTTAACAGATTAAAAGGTGGTTTTGAATATTTTTACTAAAATATGGAACTTAATATTCATATGTCTTTTTTTGCTTCTCTTCTTCTCTTAAGAACTAAGGATGTAAGTTTCTAATTTTTTGAAAATAGTTCTTTATTAAATGATCAATTACAAAAATTAATAGGAATTTTTAATAGCTTCTAGGCATTATTAGTTCTTTTGGTGGTGCTTTCAGCCTGAGTTTTTTTGTTTATCATGTGCTTTTTGGTATGTTTGATTTTTGATCTTCTTTATACAATTCGAGTTATGAAAACTTAATCGAAAATAAACAGGAACCAACCGAATGAGACCATGGGGAGTCTGCCAAAGATTGTATAAAATCAGAAGTCCAATTCAAAGAAAATTAGTCAAAACACTTGGTCCAGAACTGCCACTCGTCAGAGACAATGTCGACACTGAGGAAACAGTCTCTTTAAAAGATCTTCAAAAACAAGTTAATAGTTTAGAATTGCTTTTACGTGAGTATATTATTGATTTTTCGTATCTCGCCGAATCTCGAAAAAATGTAACAAGGTGGGAAAATTCTAATGTAGGATCAAAGTAATGAAAATTATTTTCAAATTGTAAAGTCTTTTTGTCATTTTATTATGTATTTATTTTTTCTGTGCTTTCAAGTAATGTTATCGTCATTATAATTAAAACTTATTTTCAAGCACTAGAACACGTGAATTTGTTGTTATTATAAGATTATAAAGAGTCAACTGTATTTAACCACAAATTTAATTAGTGAAACTCTAAATTCACTTGATTACAGTAATGAACTAATATCATACAGTTCTGGCGGAAAGTATTGACGGCTAGTTATTTTATTATATTTGATTCAATTATATAATACAGTAGCCGTCTTAAGTATCCGACTGCCCCTAATTTTTCATAGATCATATGTAATGTACCAAATTTTTCACGTATAAAAACTATATAAATATTGATAATTTATGCGTTTTATAGGCTGGTAAACTTCTATACGTTTGTCAAAACTCCTGTGTTGCAAATCAATCGGACGTAATATTCATGATATTTACAATATTTAGCAATCCAATTCTTGACATCCAGAAAAATACTATCATTCGATTCGTCTTGTTGAGACGAATCAAATGATAATATTTTTGTTCAGATCGAATAATTAAATGTTGAGATATTGTATCTTCCAATTTTTTTGAGGTTATCAGAAATAAATCAGTCACTTTATGATGCAGTATCTCAATATCTAGTGATCCGATTCGAGCCAAAATAATACCAATCAATTCACCTCAACTAGACAAATCAAATGATATATTTTAGCTTAAATCGGATTATTAAATACCAGGCCAATTCATTTTTTATCCAATAAAAATTGATTAACAAAAACGAATCAATCACTTTAGGATGCAATATCTCAATATCCAGTGATCCGATTCAAATAAAACTATTATCATTCGATTTGCCTAGTCTAGATAAATCGAATGATAATAGTTTCATTTGAATCGGATCACTGGATATTGAGATATTGCATCATAAAGTATTCAGTTTACTGCAATTGATTCTGCAAATTCTGCAAACTGAAAGACGTGCAATATCATTACGATCAAATTTAAAAAATCGGGTGATCAAATTTTTTAAAAAAACTTTTAATAATTACCGTTACCTTTTAACGTTAATTATACATTGTTTAGAATTTCGCGTATGTACACAAATCACATTACGTATAAACCATATGCTTCTGCAAATCCTGCAAATGCAGTAAACTGGACACCCTAATTGTATCTAAAGTGATTTATTCACTGTATTATGGCATTAAAGTTTGACGAACATATAATGCCCTAATATAAAAGTTTACCATCCGATAAAAGGCATAAATTATCAATATTTATATAGTACTTTATGCGTGAAAAATTTTGGTACATTACATATGATCTATAAAAAATTAGGAGCGGTCGGATACTTATGACGACTACTGTAAAATTAAAAATTAATCATTTTGATAGTGCCTTTAAGAGGGCATTATGCCTCTAAAATACCAGTACCTGATGTGATCTCTTTCCGTGTCGATGCAAGTTTTTTAACTAAAAAAAAACTAAATTTCGATAAATAGTATTCTAATTTAAAATTAAATTACTACCAAAATTTTCGTCTTATTGAGACGAATTTAATAAGACTAAAATTATAAAATTATGATCACTGGTTATTGAGAAAATAAGGTTTGAAAATTTTACAAACCTGCAATCGGGAAAATGAGATTAAATTATGATCACTGGTTATTGAGAAAATAAGGTTTGAAAATTTTACAAACCTGCAATCGGGAAAATGAGATTAAATTTTCGAAATTCAGCACATCTTTATTTTTTTAATTGTTATTATTTTGTTAGGAATCTAACACTTATTTATATATTTAACTTCTATAAATCTCACCGCCATTACTTTCCGCCGGAACTGCATTTATATTATTTATCGTTATCGTTATTATAAAATCGATAACCTCTTTGGGATAATATTTTTCAAATATTCCTGTGCTTTCATGAACTTATTTTATTTTCTTTTTCCCTTCCCTCACAGATAAGCAAACAACCCAAGAATAATTACTCCTATTATTTCAATTCCTATTCACAGAGTACAATTAGTTGCTGGTTTGTTATCCCCGCTAGTTATATTTGATAATTACAATTATCGTTATACATGTATGTTTTCGTGTTCCTCTTAATTACACAATTAGCATTCATTCAGTCAGAATCAATAAGTAATAACAATTTTTAGATGAACGAATTTATGTTGTACATGTAAATTGATTTCGTATGCTGAATAAGGTGAAACTTGCTCTGTATTAAATACAAAAAAATCAAAATTGCCAAGGTAAAAATAATTAAGTTTATTTTTCTTTTTTCGTCGTCGTAAAGAATGAGAAATAATTTATAATAACCTACTGTACCTTTACAATATAAAAAAATCAAAAAAAAGATAATTTTGATAACTATCAGTCAAAAAGTTAAATCCATCTCAAAGCAATTTTGCTATCAACTAGCTCAGCAGATTGTATTCATAAATGCTTACAGTAATTACCAATGTATGCACTGAATACCGAATTATTTCTCTATCCTTACTTTTACATCGTATTTATTTGAAACAAACTGAAAAAAACCATTTGTATAACATCTGCTGAGTGAATCCTATTATTTCTTCTGATTTTAATCTGAATTGCAACAACAGTTGGAGTTTTGTCATTATAAAGTTGATAGCAGTAGTAGAGTTAAATCGAATGACTGATTTATTTCGTATCTTTATTTATGTGCTGAATTAATTTCGTAAGTATTGTGAAGTTATTGTTATTTGAACTTCAAATAGCGATAGAGTTTTCTGGCTTGCAAATCTTTACTTCCTAGAATCAAGCAATTTTATGAAAAAAATTTTACACTTATTTACGGAATTCTTCAGAGCCTTACACAATTGTTCTGAATTTGCGGAATTAAATTAATTTGGAACTAATTCCAGATATCGATATGTGTATGAAAAGAGTTACATGTACGGAATTCGATGTACAAAAATAATTCCTTTCAATGACTCACCTGCTCTTTTTCAATAGTATTGTTTTCAATCAGATGCAAAAACTTGGAACTTAGATTCATCGGACCAGATAATTTTTGACCAATTTTTGTTGGTCCAATTTTTGTGTTTTTTTGACGAACTCAAGACGATGAAGTTAGTGTTCGGGTTTTAGGTATGGTTTATTGTTTTATTCTTGCTACTAAACCAGTTTTTTTAGTGTATGACGAACAGTATGCTCCGAAATTTTGATATTTTCAGTTCCATGAAGACGATTTTGGACGGCAACGGCGGTAGAACAGTCATGGGAAGTAATAAGAACTGTTATTCTTTCTAACCGGTCATTTAATAACCGTGGGCGACCAGATTTGCTTATGTCATTTAAAGTGCGCTGTTCACGCGATTTTTTTATTAATATGAGAGACGGTAGAAGCACTAATGTTCCGGGCTCTTCTATTTCTCTTGTAGTATATCCATTTTAAGCGAAACTAAAATTTCGGCTAGAGTCGTATGACGTTTTACCGTTATTTTTGTTTATTAAATAATTGTAACATGATGATCAGGAAACAAATAGCTTAATTAATTATTGTGATTCTATCGCTATGTAACAGAAATCATCATCATGCAAGTCGGATAATTATCTTGCAATCGAAAATAAAATCAATTAACTAGACTTTAAAAATATTATGATGTATATGTCTACTTGGTTTCATTCTAAAGTTTATTAAAAATTTATTAAGATATATAAAATCAAAAAATTTTTATTTTTGTTGCACTATTTTGATCGCCACCGTATATACTTCAAATTAAAATTACATGCAATTACTTATAATTTGCCAAACTTTCATTTTTGTGTTAATATTTAAATGAAAATTGAGTACCGTAATAATTCACTGCATAAACTATCCTCCATGAAGTAAATTTAAATCTAAATTTAACGCAAAGTTGTTAATTTAGTAACAAAATTTTTGAAAAATGGCACCGCGAATGTTGTTTTAATCATTTTGCTGACAAGATAATTGGTTTTGCTAAAAAGAAATTGGACTAAATCAAGGTTTAATTTTCTACAGGGTAGAGTACTTTATGTAGTGAATTACGTTATTTTCAACAATGTAATCTACTTTGTAGTCCTAAATAAACTTGTTCCTTACATTATAAATGATACCTAGAAATTTTATAAGTTTGCATTTCTGTTATAAACAAAAAACTTTATGGCGTCTACTATAGTCATATTTTTACTATTAAGTGTTCATAAAATCTTTTTGGTATGTGGCGTTTCAATAAACAACATGACCGACTAAATAGTGTATCAAAAATAACATACACGTTAAGAAAAATGCTTCAAAAAAAAATTATAAAAATTTTTGAAGGTTTTGTAAACTAATTGCATTCAAATAAGTAAACTGTCAAAAAAGTTAGAGTACTGACGGAAACTCTAAAAATATGAATAAAGTATAGTAATAAAGCAATCTATTTGTTTACTATTTGACTTCACAATCCTCAATATCAAAACGTATTAGTTCGCTCAGAAGACCAAACCGAAAGAATGTTTTTGACAATAATTACCTCTAGAACTAAACAAGCCAAGTTATAACTGTCTCCAAAACAAGGACCAGTTCCTTCATAGTCACATGTGCTCCAGCTAGCTTTAGATATACTGAAAACTTCCGTAGTTGATCCCATAATGTCGTCAGAATCAAATTTAAATAAAAAGCTCGCTAATCCCGAATATACATAACTTCAATCAAGAGATTTACATTTAATTTCGTCAGAATTTTAACACGTCTAGCGACAATGGTTAGACCTTTATGATCACATAAACGATGGAAGTCTAACCATCTCGACTGCCATATAATAATAGATTAAAGTTGAATAATGTATCATTTTCACTGTCTTGATCTTTTATTCACATGTTAAGTCTGTACAAAATTCCTGGAGCTTGACAAGTGAGTTGTATTGGGAAGAAACTTGATTGATAATTTTCAACCATGTAAAATGTTGCATCAAAAAATATTGAATATATTCAGTCAA